GCTACCTGCCAATCTGCAGCAGGGGATGAAGAATGGAAGGGAGAGACATGGGGTGCCAAGAAAACCTACCATGTGTCTTCTCAGCCCAAACCCCCTGCTGGTAATCCATAAGTGGAGCAAGAAGTGGAGCAAGGAGGAGGGGATCAAGGAGCTTAAAGAAGTGTGACAGCTATTCTATCAATTCAGAACAGCTGGGCAGGAGAATAGCTGGTCAAAGGGCTTCCCAGGGGTCTCTGCATAATCTTTACTATGCAAACTGGACCTTGCAGTCTCTTGGTCTCATTGGTAAGCATTTCCAATCAGTTTGAGACATTGTTTTGCTTTTTTCATTCAAGAAATATGCCTTGTTATGCTTGGCATGATATCAGATCTTTGCTACAGTCTTCCTCAACAAATGCATTGCTAGAATAATTATAAGGGAGAAATGCACGCATGCATCCATGCAAAAAAGCCCCAAACAACCAAAACAAAACCTTCAAAAAAACAATAGATATGTATTACCTCTTCTGATGTGAATACCACCAGTCGTGGCATCCCTGAAAGCCCCTTTTCCTTTATGTCGGGACAATACTTGTATCTCGCCAAGTTCATAGCATACATATTGGAAACAGAGCCACCTGGGGGGGGGGAAGCCCACATATAATACACTATTAATACTTCAGGTTTTCAAAATGCAGCCATAAAGGTACTCAATGTTTTGACTCAAAAGTCTATACTACATAGCACAACAATAGGAAAGGAACACTTGGAAAAAATATTTGATTCAAGTTGCTGCTACACTCAATAACTATTTGGAAGGAAGTATTCATAAGTAAGGCTTTCTGCAAACTAAGAACATAAAGAACATGTCTGAACTTTTGATTACCTTGAGTGTTCAATAGTATCGTTATTGGAAAAGTTTTGCAAGCATATGTGCACATGCAACACACACAAACCTTCCAATGTATAAACACAATGAAGGGTTTGTTGTTAAGTTGGGCAAAGTACTTCCATAAAGCATAACAGGACCTGACCTGGATAGCCCAGGCTAGCCCAATCCGATCAGATCTCGGAAGCTAACCAGGGCCAGCCCTGGCTAGTATTTGGAAGGGAGACCTCCAAGGGATACCAAGGTCGTGAAGCAGAGGCAGGCAACCGCAAAGTACCTCTGACTGCCTCTTCCTTTGAAAACCCTACAGGGTCACCATAAGACAGCTGTGTCTTGACAGCATTTTCCACCACCAAGGCACAACAGAGACTCTGCAGACATGACAAAGGGGCCAGTACTGCATCAACTAAGGTTTTGCTCCGATACATATTATTGGTATGTGTAGTGAGAAATCATCTTAAACTAAAATGGAATGTTAAAAACACATTCTTACCTGGATTAAATATGCCATCACCTTCTTCCCACCCTATAAATTCAATCATTTTTTTTAGGACTGCTTCTTCCACTAACAAAAACACTGGAGATACTTCATAGGTATACCTGAATGAATGGGAAATAAAAGGCAACCATCTGAACAGCGTTTTGACAAAGTGCATTGAGGGGAACAGAATGAAAGGAAAGCAGAGTAGGCAGCATAAAATGGCTCTATAAATAAGAGGAATCTAACAATGTTGTGGTTGCATGATGGATCATAGACACTATCCCGGATAGCTGCAGGCTAGTCCCACAATTTATAATAAACTTGGGGGGGGGAGATAAAGGGAGTTCTGGGGGGATCTAGGGAGTGACTTGGCAGGATATATGCAATGGGACCCAAGGCCTGAATTTCTCCATCAGGTCCCCAGAAATTTTCAGGGGTCCCAAATACTCAAGGACCCACACAACAAAGGGTCTTTCACATGATCAATTTAAGAGTGCTCCACATATCAGCCTTTACATCAGTCCTATGAATCCAGAAAATCGATTGCTATTTTGGCATAGGGTTGCCAAATGTTTTTTGGCCGGGAGCGGGGCCTCTTTGTTTTCCCCTCAAATGGCGTGGCCCCGCCCCCAGCGTGTGACGTCACTTCCGCGGGAGCGGAAATCGGGGCTTGAAAGCGGGGGGAATTCCGCCCCCCGGGGGCATTTGGCAGCCCTATTTTGGCACCATGACCTGGCCATGTTTAGAAAAGGCTTTGCAAGCCTTTTGATGCTGTGACTTCCCCAAAGGTATTAGCCACTCAATGGCATGATGACATGCCTGCCAGTTATGCTTCTCAGGCTTCCGTACATTGGATTGTATGCACAGATATTCAATAGGAAAAGCCCCTTAGCAGCTGGAGCAGAAAGCAGTGATTCCATTCACCTATTATACACAGAGAGAAAGCTGGCACAAAAACTATCAATCAGCTGGGCCAATATTTATTGAAATAAAGAAGAAAAAGAAATCAAAGACATTTTATTAACACAAAACATTAATGACAAATCAGGTTTGAGACAAGAAGGTTCCCTCTGCATCTTTACCTAAGTGCCCATAGAGAGTATTTATTAGGGAAAGGCAAGCTAAAACTTCTTTGACGTCTGAAAAATTTGCAGCAGCATCCACATTAATTTAGATGTTAACCTAAAGGAAATAGGATGTGCCACAGTGAAATAGCAATCCAGACTCCATGCATTGATTAAAAAAACAAAATGCACTTACACGCTTGGATTTAATGCTTCTGTAATGAAACGCGCCACTAAAGAGTAGTAATCAATACCAGCATACAACTGATTAAAAAATCTTGGATGATCTGTAAATTCAAGAAAATGAGACAGAGTTCCAGTTAATGGAAGTGGTATGTGAAAAGCATACGCAGATCGTCTCTGCAGTTTTAACGCCAGGAAAGAGATGCATAAGTTAATCAGTATGGTTTCATAATCAGAACGTTGGACTAGGACTGAAGAGACCTTGGTTCAAATCCACAATCAACACCAATGACGATGAGATGCGCGGTCCCAGCAAGGCAAATAATGGCTCCATAGGGCTGTTTCAAATCAGAAAAATGGCACAGAGGGAAAACGATCTCCCTCTGAGCCACAGTCCTATGTGCTTGGACACACACATGCAATGATTCCTAAACTCAGTTCTCAAGTGTATGGAGCCCAATACTAGGGTTGCCAGCCCTCAAGTCCAGGTGGGGGTTCCCCCGCTCCTGGGGGCTCCAATCCACCACCAGCCAGCTGGCCAGTGGGAAAGCCCCACCCCAAGCCCCGCCCCCAAGAGCAGCCACCACTTTCCCTCCCCTCCAGCGGAGATTTAAAGGGCTTCATGCTGAACGATTTAAAGGGCCCTCCAGCTGATCGGCAGGCCACGTTCTCCCCACAGATCAGCTGAAGCCCTTTAAATCTCTAGAGTAGGTGAGGGAGATGGGTGGCTGTGGGTGGCTGAAGCTTGGGGGTGGAGTTTGGGGGCATTCCCCCCCACACCCCTGGAATGCCCCCAAATCCCCCCACCAGAGCAATGAGGGGATCTGGCAACCCTACCCAAGACAGATCAGGACCACAGCATTGAGGGAAGGAGTTAACCACTTAACTTTCCCCCATCACACTCTGAAGAATCACCTTTTCAGGCCAAGAAAACAGTGGGGAGGAGGGTTATCCTCACCCTGAACTAGACCCTTGTGCACCTGAGAGCAGAATTTTAAAAATCCCTGGGAGCGCCTGACATAAAATCGCCAGTTGAACTCTGTTTTAGCCCTCATCTGAATTGGGCCATCATGCAACTGAGAACTGGGCTTGGAAAAAATCCATGTAATTTCCCAACACATAACTGCCAGTAAAAGTCTGTTTTGGTCCTAAATAACATGAGATGGATGCTCTCAGATGCAACACAATTATGCTCAGATTTAGGCAACTCCGTTAACATGTAAAAAAAAAGTCTTCCTATGAACTTGGCTACGTGTTATTCTGACTACTTTTATCCTCCTCTCTCGATGTTGAGGTTCACCCTTCCAGTTATAAAAGCTGTGTGGGACAGGGGCTGTAGTCAGTAGGGGAACTGGGTGAGATTGAGCCCAACTCATGGACGGTAAACTGGGAATCCCACCATACTCTGGCCTGATTCACATAATGAATCTCACTTCACATGAAGGCTGGGGGCATCCACAGTGTCCAGGAGTGGTCCCAGACTCCCTGCTCCCCACCAGCACTGCAACCAATGTGGCTATGGAAGGCCTCTTGGCTGGCTCTTCCACCTTGGCCAATGCCATAGAGAGCAGTGTGACCCTCTCCCGGCTGGACCTCAACACCATGACCCAGGCAGCCTCCAACAGTATCACTGTGGCCTGCAGAGCACCTGGCCTCTCACCCAGGGGCACCGGACAGCTCTGCAGCCTCAGTGCTGTCTGGGCTCCTTGCTGGGGCCTTTACCCCGGCAACAATGGTGCTGCTGCCAGGATGGGTCCACCAAGGATCAGGGCCAGAAGAGGAGGCCAAATGGCAAGGCCCTAGCTGCCAGCAAAGATGTGGTGGCCCAGCCCAGGAGCAACACCAGGGACTGCTGACTTCTGTGGCTGGGAAGAAGGGCCAACTTTGGCGCAGCCGGCCCTGAGTCCAGAGGCGATGTGTCCAGCCCAGGCCCGGACCACCCATTGACGGAATTAGGCACCCACCTAGAGTGGGCCCCCTGGAACAGGGCGCCAGTTGGCCTGCCTATTGCTGCCCTGCCCCTTGCCTCGCCACCCTGCTCCTCTGCTCCTCCGCTCACCCCTGTGCTGTGCTCCAGCCTCCTCCTCGGTCGGAGGGCACTGTGCTGGCCTGCCTGCCGCCCCTCCCCTCCCTTCCCCTCCCCACCGGCAGAGAGAGGAAGGTGGGAAAGCAGCGGGAAGTCCACCGTTGCCGCTGCCTGAGGTGCCCAATTGTCACTTCCCTGCTGCTTGGGCAGCAGCTTAGCCTGCCTGACTGACAGAGGGGCAGCCAGAGGCTGGGAGGCGGCGGCAGCGGCGGCGGACTTGCCGACCTGAGAAGGTGCACGGGCAGCAGCAGCCATGTGGTGGCTTTCCCTCGCTCTGTTTGGCGCTTGCAGATGGGAGGAACTGGGGCAGGCCAGGATTTCCCCTTCACTCACTTTTGCACTCAGTCACACTCAGAGTGCTGTGTGGTGGGGATGCCCCCTCCCTGACCCTTCTCGGCTCAGAGATTACCAGTAACTTTGCATGGGGCGACACTGCCAGGGAATCTGCAGCATTGTAAGGGTTAAACGGTGCGAGCTGCTTCCTGGAGAGGCTGGAGAGGCTGGGGGGCAGAAAAGTCCGGTTTCAGATCGGCAACAGGAGACAAAAAGCTTTTCAGCCGGATTCCTAGCAGGGTTATTCTCAAGTAAGTCATGGGGGAAAATAAGTCAGTCGTACTGGAAGAAGAGGAGATTAGATTTATATACCCCGCCCTTCACTCGAAGTCTCAGAGTGGCTTACAAACTCCTGAGCTGTGACTGAGTCAGGAAAGCTGCCACAAATTTTGTGAGCCTTTCAGGTGCTGCTGGACTCTTGCTCTTTTCTCCCCTTACACTCCGCCATGACAGCTTCGCTCATCCGAGCATCAGGGACTCCTGCAGCCCCCCCCCCCGCCAATGGGCAGAATCAGCAACTCCCCATCCAGGGGTGCCTTGGTGGCCCCCACCTTGTGCAACAGCCTGACTGAGGTCAGGAAGGCTCCCAGCTTTCCGCAATAGGGTAGGCACTGTACAGAAGAATTCACAAAGTCACTTGGAGAAATTATCTGGGACTGTGGTCTATATGAATGTGTATTTGTTGTTGTTGCTGTCAAGTCACAGCTGACTAGGGTTTTCAAGGCCAGAGACATTCAGAGGTGGTTTGCCATTGCCTGCCTCTGCATCATGAGCCTGGTATTCTTTGGAGGTCTCCCATCCAAATATTAGCCAGGGCTGACTATGCATCCCTTCCAAAATCTGCCAAGAACAGGCTAGTCTGGGCTATCCAGGTTAGGGTGTTACTTCTCCAGAGGTACCTGTGCTAAAACTTGCTCTATCTGGAAGTTTTCTGTGCCTTGGGGGGAAAATGCCTATTCAAAAGGAGAAATGTCGCAGGTAAATTATGTAAATCTTAAATTAGGTAAAGCTGGTAAATTTTTCTCCAGACTTTTTTTCTTTTAGACTGAAGAGGGGGGGGGGAATTCCAGAGACATAGGAGGTTATATCTGAAAAAGTGGGGTCTTCAAGCCCACGGAAGTTGATGCTGGAATAAAATCTTGTTGGTCCCACAACTTTGTCTCTAACTGGGAAAAGAGATAAAACAGGATTTTCCTAGCATTCCCAGAATTTTGTATTTCCTTGATAGGGTTTGTCTCAAACAGCTGCCTGTCATAGAGACAGAAATTAATTAGGGAAGTCCTTATAATCACTTCCCCCCTGTGGCAGGAAAAGCTTTCATTGTCGCAGTATATCTCAATGCAAGGGAATTTCCCTTGTAGGAGTTTCAGTGCCCCCCCCTTGTGCTTTTTAACAGCATCGTGTCAGAGGGAGAAATTAATCAGCAGATGCTTTCCTTATGACTTCATCTCTGTGTTGGGGAAATCATTTTTCATTCTTCCTAAAATGCATTTATGTTTGAAAATTGGTGGGCGGGGGTGGGGGGCGCCAGAAGGTAGCCTTGCCTAGTGTGCAAAAAAACCTGGAGCCGGCCTTGGTCCAGCCTGACAAGGCAGACCCATAGTGGTGGGGGCCTGCTCTTGCCCATCTCCCTGCCTGACCAATGGCACAAGGGAGGAGAGGGAGAAGTCAGCTCTCAAGTCTGGCGTGGGAGGAAAGGGAAGACACTGGCCCAACAAGCCTTCTGGGGCTGATAGGAAAGGGGGGCAGGGAAAGGAAGGGCTAGGAAGCCTGCTATCTTAAATGCAGACTCCCACAAGGACTGAGGAAGATTGAGAGGATGAGGAGAAACAACAAGGTGGTGCAAATCCTTTCCTCCTCCATTCTGAGGTTTGGGAAGTCTGCCTCGGTCACCCTACAAGATGGGTGAGGGCAAGACATCTGCGCTGGAGACAAGGGAGCCTCGCACACAGACTGACTGTAACTCACAGACCGTTGCTATATCTAGACAGGCCATATATTCTCATCCGGTTGGACTTAGTGGCTTGGATCCAGCAATGTGCAAGCAAAAATATAAACAGACTTAATACAGTTCCACCTGAGCAAGATCTCATACAACACTAAGTGATGGATTTTTGCATTAAGTAAATAGTTCCTTAGTGCCTTTTCTCCTTATATATTATAGTGCCCAGAAACTGGTTGTGCAAGATTTTGTGCAGGAAAAATGCAGATGGGAATACAATAAATCTGACTTAATACAAACGGCTAACACAGTTTTTTCCCTTGTGCCTCTGCTTGCGCAAGACCTCTAGTGCAAGTGAAGGTTTTGTGCTGGATCCAACCCAACAGAACACAGTTTGTCAAGGTGTCATCTTTGTGCTCAAACATTAAAAATAAGAACTACCATCCCATCCAACTGCTTGAAGGAACTTCATAAAATCAAAGGAAAGAAAACAATCGATACAGGGAAAAGATTCATACTGGTTTTGACGCTGAATCGTATAACATCCTGGCAAAGCTGTAAGAGTCTCTGATGGGTCTCTCCAGTGTCTTTCAAATCAAGATCAAGTAGTGCTTTTAGTTTTTCAGGAGGCTGCCATTCACACACCTAGTTATGAAAGAAAAAAAATCAGTTATGAAATGTTGGATTAAGAGGAAAATATTGATGATGACAAAGCCTAAATCACCAAGAAATTATAGGTTTTGCAATATTCCCTGTAAAATAAATGGGAAAATAACTTTTAATACTGATCTAAATAAAAGTAGTTCAGGTAACTTTTAACATCGCAGATCCTTCCAAAACGTTCCAGCATAAATTGCTTTGATTTGTCATTTTAGTTCAATGGATATGAAACACAGTATTCAAACTGAGGATTCTGAATTCACACTTTATGATTTTGCATTCCTTTTCAAATTATTCAGAAGTGACTGCACCATTATACATACAAACAACAAGGCCTAGAATGGATTAAACGTCTTCAAACACTGATATCCTATGAAACACGTTTTTCTTGGGAGCAGGTCTACTGAGAAGTAAGACCTGTGGCTTGCACCCAGGAAAGCCTCCTTAAGATTGTGTCTACATGCACAACCATAAATTATCAAATCATATTTTAAAAGCCCTGTTTTGTTGGAGGAAGACCACATGAGAAGCAAAATATTTATGTTTAGTACAATAAAATGGAAGCATAGAGTTTACTGCTAATTATATATATATATATATATTATATTGCAACTGAGATTTCTACCTTTTCTGTTACATCAGCAGCTTTCTTAATCACCTCCTCCATGATTATCTTACTGGCCTCCTCCACAAATTTTTCTCCTGCTTTGGAATCTGCTACTGGGCCATTTAAAATTACACCATCCACTAAGATCGCATTCTTCTTTCTCTGCAGTGTTTCCCGTTCATTAACAGTTTCAGCTGTAAATGAGTAAGCAAAAATGCAATAAGATACAACACTATTGTGCTCTGATATTTTTGCCTGTTAAAAAAATAAAACAACAGGTAATCTCGCCCATGAGCATCATACCCCATGCTCTTGTACTAGCTACCTTTTATAACCCCTGCCTGGCGGGGAAAGGAGCAGGATAAAAATCAAATAAATGAGTAATAAAATAATTTCCCAGTCACTAAGACTTTATAGCTGCGCAAAACATTCTTCAAGAAAGTGCTTTTTCCCAATCCTCCTGCAACCAGAGGATCTACAGCTGTCAATTCTATTGCGCCTTCAATAGTTAATAGTTTACTAGGAACAACTATTGTGGCAAAACACTCTAGGAAAATATTACTCTCACACAACAGAGATGCTACATGTGGGACTGATGTTTGGACTATTCCCTCAGCTGTGTGATAGCTGTACATTAAACAAATCTCTCAAATGGCCACCCTAGGATTGTACTTTCTATTCACTAAGAAACTCTCTCTCGGACTTACCCCAAGGAAACAATTGTTTCTCCTATATATTAAAAAGTAAAGAAAGGATGCTGCTGGTGGTGGTGGTGATGTGTGAAAGGATCCTGCTGGTATGTGTGAGTGTATGCATGACTGTAGTGTTGAAGAGTAGTTTAGTTGAGCTCAGACAGATACTGAACCTTAGCACCAATTCTCAAGTGGAATCACAGTGTAAGAAATGAAATGAATAAAGACTTCTGTCAGGTACTCTTTAAAGTATTGCTTTAAAATTGCATTGTTGGAAATCAATTAATGATTAGGGCTTATTATAAAGTTGACACAGGGGAGTTGCGAGAATGGGGAACATGGCTTAACTACCGGCCTGCAAAACAACCCATAAACGGATGCCTTGCAAAATGTTAGCTTAGGAAAAAGGGGAAGTGGCCATACACGAAGAAAGATTTCAAAGCTCTAAAACCTTAAGACCCCTAGCTTACCTTCTTTTCCTATTCTTGCCCCTCTGACAAAGTCTTAGAGGGACATTTGCTTTGTATTGAAATTAAGAAAGTATTGTTTATGAATGCTTGAAAATGAATGCTTAAGCTGGCTTGCTTGCAAAGCAGAAGTACAGTCAGATTATTGTCAATTGTTAAAACAGAGGCAGGGAAGAACCTGCAATTTGGGAGATGGGAAGGGAGGCTACTTAGGAGAGTGATTAACAATGAAAGAAAAGATTAAACAAGCAGGGGCTATGCAGAGGAACCATTGTACTTAATTCTATGTATCTTTATATGCTTTTATTTTTCTTGAATGCATGAAAGCTGACCAGCCTAAAATAAGGAACTTGGCATTTGGCTCTGTCAAACAAGTCTGTTGAAAAGATGATGGCCCAAGACAGGCCTGCTGAAATAGGACATCTTGCGGTCTAAAAGTCCCTGCTTTAAGAGAAGACCTGTCTCAAGATACTTGTGGTGGGCCGTTGTGGGTTAGGAAGAAAGGTTAGGAAAGAGTAGAGAAAGTTAATACCATGTTTGGCATAAAGGAATTGTGCCCTTTTCTGGGAAGAAGGGGTTTGTCTCAAGAAAAAGAAGAAGTTACTAGGCGGTCAGTGATTGGAAGTTGTAACTCCTGACTCTCAGTTCTGGGAGGGGGAGAGGGTGTTTCTTATTTTCCATACCACTTCTGTTAAGTATGACACTTAACTCGGAGGATCAGCTCAACAAGTGATTTCAGCTTTATTTCAGTGATAACAGCATGAAGGCTCAGCCTTGTAGGTGCTAGACCAGCTAGGCAACTTCCATAGGCAAAACGGCAACTTATATACAATTCTGGCTGAGATAGCCACACCTACAATGTTTCCCGACAACCAATCACATTAGGTATGTTACATCCAATCACAATCGATACATAACGTCCAATCAAACCCATTCCCTCCAGAATACACACCATTGGTCAGTATTTACAATCCGCATAATGAGCTATGGTAGCTCAAGCTTTTACCATTATGTCTCTCAAGACATAACAACTCCTCCCCCCTTAGATGGCATCACACTGATAGTCTGAAAGATAGGGAGGGGCCCGTCGGGTTCGTTGGGACCTGCGAAGTGTGGGGGCTTCGTCAGGACTGGGGACTGGCCCAGGGTCAGCGCCTGGCATTGCAGGGCCACCTGGCTCGGTAGGGTCGGAGAGTGCAGGGGTCTGCCCTGACTCTGGTTCTAGTCGAGAACCAGCAGCACTCACCTCGTCCGGAGGCAAGTGGGACTGCTCCCAAGGCTCGGGAACCACTCCAGACTCGAACTCATGACTCGCAGGAGCCCATCGTTGTCTGAGTTGATCTATGTGGCGGCGTACACTGCGATCATCTGGTAGCCGGACCACATACATTCGTGAGCCCAGTCGGTCGGTGACTTTGGCTGGAAGCCACCTGTGACCTTCAGCGTAGTTTCTGCTGAACACTAAGTCCCCGGGCTGGAACTCTCTTACAGGCTCTGGAGTTTCAGCCTCCTTCTCTCTGCTGACATCTAAGTCAGGATGCAAACTATCAAGTAATGTGGTTAGTTTGCGCTTCATGAGAAGCTCGGCTGGGCTTCTCCCTGTGGCGGAGTTGGGCGTGATGTGCTGCCTCAATAAAAACTCAGCCACTCTGTAGTCCCAGTCATCGACTGGCAGCCTGGCGAGAGATTCTTTCGCCGTTCGCACCATGAGCTCGGCCTGGCCGTTTGAGGCCGGGTGGAATGGTGCCGTTGTGACATGTCAGATGCCGTAGCCCTCTAGGAAGTCTGCAAATTCCCTAGAGGTAAGTTGAGGGCCGTTGTCCGACACCAGCACTTCAGGTAGCCCATGGGTGGTGAACAAGTGGCGCAAGGCCTTTATTAAGTTCGCTGACGTTGTGCTCCGCATGGGGACTACCTCGAGCCATTTCGAGTGTGCATCCACCACCACCAATAGCATTTGCCCATGTACTGGGCCCGCAAAGTCAACATGTAGCCTTGACCAAGGCTTTTCAGCTCTCTCCATTGCTAAAGGTGGGGCGTGTGTTGGTTCAGGACAAGACTGTTGGCAGGTGTAGCAGCCTCGAACCCTTTCTTCAATGTCCGCATCCAGCCCTGGCCACCATAAGTACCCTCTGGCCAGTGCCTTCATATGGACAATCCCTGGGTGACCTGAATGCAGGGACTCCAACACCCTCCCCCGCAAGTTTGGAGGAATTACCACCCTATTTCCCCAGAGAATGCACCCCTTAGAGATCGAGAGTTCAGTTTGCCGCATTTTGTATGCCTTAAACTCCGGTTAAAACACGGTGCTCGGCCCTCGTGCTAACACAGAGTCCTTTTTCGTTGCGGTAGCAACTTCCCCGGACCACAGTGGAGACTGAGGAAGTTCGTCAAGAAGACACACATCTGCCGTTGGCGCCGAAGAAGGATCAGCAGTCTCTGGTAGGGGACATCGACTTAGAGCGTCGGCGTGGCCGATAGCTTTCCCAGGCCTGTGCTCCAAGTCGTACTCGTAGGCCGACAAGCAGAGCATCCAGCGTAGCATACGAGGGGAAATAATGTTCAGGGTCGGGCGGTCAGGAGCGAAAATGCCCAAGAGGGGCTTGTGATCAGTCACGATTAGGAACCTGCGCCCATACACAAAATTGTGAAACTTCTTCATGGCAGCAATGATGGCCAAACCTTCTTTGTCAATCTGGGCATAATTTTTTTCAGCCCCAGACAATGACCTGGAATAGTAGGCCATGGGCGCCTCAGATCCATCGGCCATACGATGGCTTAACACTGCCCCAATACCATAAGGCGACGCATCGGCCGCTAGAACCAACATTTTACTTTCATCAAAATGTGTTAGTACTGCATCGGACGTGAGGAGAGCTTTTACATTTCGGAAAGCGGCCTCCTGCCGCTGGCCCCATACCCATTTGGCACCTTTATTCAGCAGTTGGTGGAGTGGCTGTGCCACAGACGCTTTGTGGGGAATAAATGAGTGATAAAAATTAAGTAGTCCTAAGAAGGACTGTAGCTCTTTTCGTGACTGTGGTCTGGGGGCATTGTGTATTGCCGACACCTTTGATTTCGTTGGGTGCACCCCGTGTTCGTCAATTTGGAAACCAAGGAATTCGACACTTGGAACCCCTATAGCACACTTTGACCTTTTAAGTCTCAACCCTGCATTTTTGAAACGTTCCAGAACGGCCCTGACCCGTTCAAGTAGCTCCTTATCATCTGCCCCCGCAATAAGTATGTCATCCACCAATAGCTGCTGATATGCTTGCGCGAGGTCTAATTTAGCGAACACTTCCCCCCCTCCCTAATGAGGCAAACACGTGAGAGATAACAGGTACAGGGTACGAATGTTGTTGCAACGCTTTGTTAAGTGTACATTTATAGTCAGTACAAATTCTAATGGAGCCATCTGATTTTACAGGAGTGACAATTGGCGTTTCCCATTTGCTGCTGGGAACGGGCTCCAGAACCTTCTACTCGATGAGTTTGTCTAACTCGGCCTCTATCTTTGGCCGTAACGATATTGGCACCTTCTTGTATTTGAGGCGAATAGGCCTTACCAGGGGGTCTAAATCAAAGGAAACCAGGGGACCTGTGTAGGTTCCTAACCCTTTTGCAAAAACTTGAGGGAACTCGTCATACACACATTTCCATTTATCATCGCATACCATATTATTAACTCCGGCAACAGATATTCCCGACGGTTCGAACCAATCTAGCCCCAATAAACTCCCCCTGTTCCCCTCGGCAACAATCAAAGACAGGGATGCACAAAATCCCTTAAATCGAACCTCAAATTCCGCTTCCCTTGCAAGCGGTATCCAGCGCCCCTGAAAATCGGCAAGTTGGGTGTCGGTTGTCAGGAGACGTCTGCGGCTTCTCGTGGGGAACAGGCAATCGAGGGTCTGCATTGAGATCATGGTCCGGGCCGACTCGGAATCAACCTCGAAGTCGCAAGGCACTCCATCCAGGAACAGAGTGACGATGATTTTCTGTCGGCTACCTCCTCCTGTCGTCAGGACTGTT